ATCCAAACCTAAATTAAAATGCAGAACAGTTCTACCACTTCAATAGATGTGTTCCTGTGAGCATCCTGGCCTTTAACTTCTGTTCATTTCTTCAGTTTGACATGTATAAGTAAAATTCTGTTTGTTGCAGAGGCTCTATGAATCCTTCAAGGAAAATAACTATCCAAAACGAGAAGTCAAGGAAAGCTTGGCTAAAGAATTGGGACTGGCAGTCCAGCAGGTTTGTGTATTTCCACTCAAGCATTTGTAATTGACTGAAAACTGTTATTATTACTCTAACTCTTGCTTATTTGGAAAAAAAAATTGGCTTGGCCTAAAATAAGTAAGTTGAGTGGCTGAATTTGTTTAATCTCCAGAAATATTGTGGTTTAATTGGCTTAGGCAGACCATTTATTTAACATATACTCCCTCCATCCTAAAAATGCCGCCTTCTCTCAATATACTCTAATCCTTCTTGCCCCACTCTTGTGGGATGTCCTCTTGTTTCTTGTTAAGAAAAGAGTTGTGTGATCTGCACTCTTTCTATCCTTTATAAATAAACCAAAACCACACAAATTCAATCTTAATAAATGTGTCGAGGGAAGATATCTTTAGGATGGAGGGAATATATTTCTACAGTGAGTTATAAAAAAAATCTAAAAAAAGCAAAGTTGGAGCGCTCAATTAGAGTATCTTTTACAGTTATTTTTATTACAAGCCAATCAGAACTAGTGTAGTGAATTAAGTTAGGTGGTATCATTTTGTAAAAAAACTATGTGGAAAATAGGAAATTACCTTAAAATGTTGACTAGTAACTGGGCACTTATTATGTTTCCACTTCTATAACGATATCTCTTATACTACAGGTTAACAAATGGTTTAATAATACACGTTGGAGTTTTAACCATCTGTCACCACAAACCAAAAATGTCATGCCTGCTGTTGAAGAGCATGCCAATGTAGATACCAAAGAGTTGCCGAAGGAGAACAAACCCAAAGTTGATAAGAAGAAAAGCTCTCTGCCAGTGCGAAGAAGAAACAGATTAAAAGTTTAAAACATAAATTGATGTGCAGTGTGTTATCAATCTTTGACAAGAAACTTTATACCCAACTCAAAATCCATAATATAGTGTAGTACCAGGAAACCTATTCTGAATAATACTTTCAGTTCCTAATTTGTTTAGGTTTGTTTCATAGTAATTTTTCTATATAGTTCTCTCCCAATTTGGTTGGGGTTTTGTTGTTTCTTGTTGGTTCTTGGTGGGTGTGGCTGATTTTACATTGGTCAGTTTTCATATGAATTATATCATTTTGGGGATGGACTTTTAAATGCTCTCCAATGTTACTTTCAATTTGTTCAATTCAGGTGCAGTTTATTGTTCAGATGTTCTTCAAGGTCACACATATGAGAGGTCTTATTCAACTTTTATGTGTGCAAGATCTATTATGATTCAATGAAATTTTATTTGTATAATTGTATCCATTGAATTCCACCCTATGACTTTTATTTATTAATATATTTCTCTTTTATTAAAAGTTGAGAGTTTTCAAGATTTCTAAGATTAAGGTTGTTGTTTAACCAAACTGCTATGTAAATCTGTATGCCACTACTTGTTTTGATGTTTGGATGCTGATGACTGTGTCCCCTCACTTTTACACCTCAAAAATATTTATGTGCTTTCTTACCTTTTATTTTTTGTAGTAAACATATATCATTCGGGTCGCGTTAAGTTCAAACTTTAAGTGCGACTTTCAAGGCTATGATTATTGCTAAGTAAACACATGCCTTTCAAATATGTCTCAAGTGTTGTTGAAGGTATGTTTCTGCTTGGTATTTCACAACTATGAGTTATATCCCCTTTTATCTTCTTTTTGTTGGAGTACTTGGCATCTTCAGAAGGAATATCCCACTGATTCTGCTACATCGTGTCATCCATGTCAAGGTTTCCTGTCAGCATGGCTGAAATCTCAATAGTTGGTAACTTGGTATTCTTCTTTTCTTTTTAAGTGTCCTTTTAGGTGTCTGCAAGTATTCTAAAAAAAACAATATTTTTTCATGGATACTATAATATGGCAATAAGATACTTTTGTTAATGGTTTTAAGTAATCCATAATGAGACATGATGGAAAATGAATAATACTCGATATTCTAAAGAGAAAATATTTGATATCACATTTGATGATACATTAAGAGAGGATTGGAGGACTCTATCGAACCAATTTTAGCAGAAAAGGCAGAAAAAATGGTCATTAAGGAGACATCTTGAACACAAAAAGTTTAGAAAACCAATCCCTCTAGCAAAAGCAGAAACATTCTGCATCAACACTTGGGGAGAAAAATAGAGTCCTTGTAGTTAGTGATTGTGTTGGGCATAGAACCTATGACAGAGTTAGAGCTTCAGGTTCAAGTCAAGCTCTTCTGGTTCTGCTGCACGGAGTTGGAAACTTCCTGGCCACTTTGAGCCTTCTTCTTCTTCCTCCTTTGGGAATTGCTGCCATGCCGAACTGTGTTCAGCGTTATTAGGCTCACTACACCTTGCTGAGTGGGGAACCAAACCCATTCTTTGAGTGTGGCAGTGCCTTGCAGCCACATCTCTTTCCTTTTTGTGAGCATTCTGATGGCCACCCAATGCCTGTGAGTTGTAAAATTTTCTGCTGCAGAAGTTGCATGAAAACAGCTTAGCAGGGAATGGTATTCTTGTCTGCAACTTGGGTTCTGAAGGGGAGGAAGGAATTCTTCCAATGCTCAAACTCAACCACTGATCTCTTTGACCAAGTAAGTCTTGATTACCATTATCTCCATTTCTCATTCTGCAACTTCTTGTGTTTTACTGGTTTTGTTCTGTTGGGAGATGCTTTCTGTTATTATATCACCTTTTTGGTCTGTGTTGATAAATCTTTCAAGCTGAGTGGGTAGGAAGCAGAATTTATCTGGACCCACTAATATTAACTGGCTTGTTTTTTGCTTTCTGAAAAGAATGAGGTAAGAATGAGCTTCCTGGGAAGTGTGGATGTTGGACTGTTGGAGAGGGTGGTGGCAGTGTGAATACTATTTTCAGCGCGTTTTTTGAAATGATGGGGTCCAAGGTGTTGGCCTTTGCCAATAATGTTGATTCAAATAGAAATATATCTTTTTCCCCAAAAAAGAAAAAAAAACATTGATTTGATGTTTAAAAATGGGAGATATTTTGCCGGGGTAAAAAAAAATAAATTAGCACTCAAAAGTCTCCAAGATTATGTTTGGTTTAAAGAATTTGAAATGAAAAGATCTCTCATTTTCCTCGCGAAAATAAGAGGAATTTGGTTTTCCCTCAACTTGGTACATTTTGTTTTCTCATTTTATTTTTTTTCCACTTTTCTTCTTTTTTCTCTCTAACCAAATAAGAAAATCTGATTTTTACTTCATTTTCTTTTTTTCTTTTTTAAATTCCTTGAACCAAACATAGTGCAAATTAATTTAAGTACGAAAAACATTGGTGATAGAAATACTCTTTTTTAGGTCTAGAGATATGGGGCACAACCCATGATAAAGGCCCATATGACAAATTCTAACCTTAAGGTTTCTTCATAGGCAAATTCTTTTGTAGTCTTATGTCCATATTTGTTTTATGGACCATAGTATATAAATATTATGGATGAATTGAGCTCTTAAAAGAAATTAAAAATTTCATGTCGGTTTATGAAAAATGTGAGAATGTTTACTTTTCACATGTGAATCTCAGGAACATGAAAGCACACTCTTCCTTCTATGCCTATAATACAAAGGGATTTCATTGTTTGTATCTTTTTTAGTGTTTCATGTAATATTAGTGACTGTCAAGCGAATATTGTATATTTACATCTTTTACAAGTACAAATTTTTTTGGCATGATACCGTCTAAAAAAGCAAGTGATTTTTTAAATTTGATTTTTTATATAAATATTCATGTGTTCATAGAGTACATGTTTGAATATTGATGGATCCATTTTCATCAATATGCTAAGGGGAGGATTAATCTAATATTATATATTTTTAAAAGAGCCCGGGGACATTGCTCATGGACCCCTGACCTATAAAGTCCCCAACTATTCGAATTCTTAAAACTTAATTGATCAAAGTTTATCTAGTTTGATCTAATAAATTCAAACTAGACTAATATTAAATATATTATTTAATTGATGATCAAAATCTATTTAATTTTTAAAATCTGAATGAATAATTTCACTTCTAGAGTGATTGTACTAATTTTTTTACAAGGGATGAAATATTTTATTATTACAGGATATAACATGAGAAATAAACACCAAAAAGAAAATACTCACGAAAAAAGCAAACCTTACTACGAGTGCTCTCTAGTCTCTCCACCTCATGCCAAAAGGGACAAGTCACATATTTTGTTGTCTCAACCTAAAAGGTACACTTATATTTGATATAACATCCATGTTTTTCAATCATCTTTTTTCATCTTTTCAATCATTTCTATACACTCAATCATTTTTTTAACACATAATCTCTTACTTTTTTTAATTAATTTTATTGCTCTCTTTTTATTTTCTCAATTACTTCTTAAGTTATTTGTAATTTCCACAAAAATCCTTGTGTGCCTTTGGCACAGGATGAAGGGAGTATTTATAAAAAATGTACTCCCTATCAAACAAGTTGAGTTATTTCCACACCTATACGAGTACATTAAATTTTTTCCAGCAAAGAAATAATTTTAAAATATATAGTTACATTCCATAGTTTTAATAGTTAATACTTTCCTAAAAATAAAATGTTGTGCTGTTTTGAAACTTGGGTTTTCTATAGTAATTGTTAATAATTAAAATGATGATGATGATGATGTTTAATCTATAATGTGTCTAATTTTGACTGAGATCTCTTGTGTTCATTTGACTTGAATAATCTTTTTTAAAAATGAAAAAGAAGAAAAAATCCGTCCCCAAGCAATAATTTCATCTTAATTAGAGCTAGTTTTTTTAATTAAAAAGTCATATACATTTCATAGTCATGCTAAAAAAACATTATCGAGAATTATGAAAGCTGGTAAACCTGTTCATTTGTCCAGGCAAAGCTATATAAGAATATCTTGATAATAATGGTACACAATTTAGTACAATATGTTCAATGATGCGTCTGTTACAGTATTTATGGAAGTTCCAAATGTTCAAAACAAAGCTTGGTCAATCGCGGCAAACAATCTCTTAGAGAGGTACGATCGTATACAACAGATCCATGTTCCAGCAAAGTCGTAAACAATTGCTTCTGTTATTTTGTGATTAGAAGAGAAAGGGAAATTTGACTCCAAAGTCAACTAAATTTGCAGAAAGAAGTCACACGTGTTACATGCCAGCAGCTTTTATATATTTATTCATTGAGAGTGATTCTGCTGAATAGTAGAAATCACTCCTTCAATGTTGTGGAAGTCTTGCCGTCCTTTCAGAAGCAACTTTGCACAGTTCAGAGCTCGGCGCTCACATTCAGCTCGTTTCCCAACATCCCGAATTGATTCCAAATCCTCAACATGAGCCACGCCAACAATTCGCCTGCAATTGAAGTGATTTACACAACTTTTGATTGCATTCATGGAGCATTCCAAAATCCCAAGCATATTCTAGCTCAAACTATAACCAAACTCAATTTTAATAAGATTAATGTAGTTGTATATAGTCATAAGGGATGAAATCCCAAAATAGACTAGCCCAGCTCAACTTAAAGGTGACGATTAGCACGAAATGCATTTGAGCTTAAACGAAAGAAAAATAAGAGATTGGTTACCATAACACAAAGCAAGATCCTAAAAGAGATGCAAAATCTACCTTATCATCTTGGCAGCACCAAACCCAAGGGTGTCACGGAATAGATCTCTCATATACTTCTCTCTTACCAGATTCTGAACTTCTGAATTATTATATACTTCAGGAAGATAAGCCTCGCCGGACCCATCCTTATGATCTTCCCATAGGGCAGTAAACTTTTTGTGGAAGAGGTTCCATGTATCTGCTATTGTCTTCAAAATCCATGCTTTATATGACTGCACAAGAAAAAACTCTCACACTATGTTTGGAACATAGATATTGGTATAGAAAAGAATAAAGCACAAAACTTTTATTCAGCACAAACCTGGCGGTCAGTACCCTCATCTGCATGTCCATCTTGAGCGTAGTAAGCTAGAATTAAGTTTCCAATAAATGCCCCAATATCAAATCCCATTGGGGCATAAAATGCAAATTCAGGATCTATAACTTGAGTTGACTCAGGAGTAACCATGACAGAACCTGTATGGAGATCGCTGTGTATAAGAGCTTGAGCTCTTTCACAAAACCTGAAAGTTATATGCACAAGAAAAATACATTATTAAAAGAGTTCAAAAAGAAAAAGCTCCATCAACCGTAACTAGAGAAGCATATTTTTCACTTGGAAATGTTACTTTGACTTGAGCTCTGCAATTTCAAGCTTCAAAACATTATCATTCCTAATTGCTTCTGCATCAGCATCAAGATAAGGAGTTGTCCACCGATTATACTGGGACACTTTGTATGGATCGGAGAAGATGACCTGCTCTGTGAGTCTACACATTTCCACATTTCCACAAAACTTTGCAACTGTATAGAGGAAAGAAATGGTTTTGGTTTGACAGGGTCGACGAAATCAAGACTAAGAGACCCTATAGCCTAAAATGGCTGCTCTTGCTCAAAATCATACAAGCAAATCAAAGCTCGTGAAAATTAAAATGTGTTACCTGCACGCTTGTGGTCCGTGGTAGTAAGATAAAGCAGGGAAGTGAAGAAAAGAGTCTTAGACATATAGTCTGACATATGCTCAGCAAGCAATGGATACTCAATCCCTGCAATCAGCCCTTTCCTTAAGATTATATGAGGAGGTTCAATGTAGCGCATGCCAATCAAACACATTGTCTGGTCAAAATGGTAAACTTCAGGAGTATGCTCAGGGCATAAGCGCCCGTGCTCTTTTAAGGTTGTCGCCTCGAAATAAGCACGTTCCTTTGCCATTGGCCAGGACTCGCCGATACATCTTACATAGGGAATGGCCTACAAACACCACCACCACAACTCAGATGGTTTTACTGAAAGATCAAACCACTTTGAAGGTTGAAATTAATCCCAGATTTCATTATTCCCATGTCTGGATTGTGATTGTACAGAACATTTGATTGTCTAGATCAACTCAAGCAAACAAAAGTTATCTCAGTATTCCAATTTCTAAATTGATTTAAAGACAATCAAAATTGTAAAGCTGAAAATCAAATCAAAGCATCTGAAAGCATGTATTCTGTATTAGAAGCTCAATAAGTCAATACACAGCATCAGAGAGCTGCTCATAAAAACCAAAAAAAAAAAAACAATTGATCAAGTCGATTATTTATCTCAATCCATGATTAGCAGATCTTTCCTTTGCAGGAGGAAGAACAATCGGGTACCTGCTTGATGACAAGGGAACCAGAGGGACCGATGATCACAAAGACAAAGTTGAGATTTCCATCGCCGACTTCTCTGATTTCCAATTTGTCGACCTGATTAGGTTGGTCTCCTAGCAGTATTGAAGCCAGTGACGATGTCGCTTTTATGTACTCCACCACCGATTTCTCGTCCAGTGGCCGGAATCCATCAGAGGCCATTTCTTCACAGGCGGCGGCGAAGAGTGGCGGGTTTGGTAAAGAAAGAAAAGCGCGGCACGCACTCCGCGACTGTGTGACAAATGACTGTGTTTCACAGTGCCTTACATTGAACCTGGACCATGCTAAAACCAGGTATTTCGCAACAGGTCGAAATTACTTACGAGTATATACCCCATATATATATATAATGGATTTACTCCTACGAACAACATTTGACTTTAGGTTATAAGTTAAAAAATGCTTATCAGCAATAAGCCGATCACCAACGCAGAGAATACCCTCTTAATTTGATGGGAAGAATCGAACGCAAGTATATTCTTTTAACAGTTATTGTCTTTGCTAACTGCGCAAAGACACGCCTTCGAAATCACACTCCTAATTTGGCATAGCCTTACTGTTTTAATTAATTTTATATTTTTTAAAATTACTTTTACATTTATGTTACTTTTAAAATCACTTTTTCACAATCAATTTTACTTTTTTCGACACGATTTATGTTACATTGAAGATAATGTCATAAAATGACCCGGAGCTCCTAAATATAAAAATTTGTGACCAATATCACAAAAATCTGATCGTACTTTTTGAATCACATTTTTTCCTATTTTTTCAATTATTTCTATAAAAAAATCTTAAACTTCATAATTAAAACATGTACTTTTGGTACGAGAGGGAGGGAGTATATTCTAAAGAGGGCCCTTATGGTACGTGAAATTGTCACAAGTATTGACTATTTCATACATTTAAAATTACCAAATAATTATTGGTGTAAAATTCTCAACATCATGTGACTTGGAAATGTGAAATGTAAAAATATGATATGCTCCTTGCGCCTCTAATTTGATAACAAATTGAGATTTACAAAAAAAATATTTTATTTTTTGAAATCATTTTGTATACCAAGTTTATAAATGGATTTCATTTTGTATACAAATTTTAGAGTTGGATGTTGGAAAAAATGGAAAGAAATTGAAAAACAATTATGAGTTAAAAATATTTGAAGAATTAAAATGTTAAAAAATCATTCAATTAAAAATGATCATCCATCTAAGTATGTTAGAAAATTCTAATTTTAGATAAAACACATTCGTCATTGTCCGTGTTTGAGGTAATATGTTATAAATTTAGATATATAATGTTATTCTACATTAATAATATAAATATCTTTTTAAGTAGTTGTTGAAATAAACTGGAAAGAACTAAAAAAACAGGTAAAAAAACTAGAAAGAGTTAGAAAAAATTGAAAAACTAATTTTTTCAACCAAAAAATAGTGTCTATTTTCTTCATTTTGTAATGAGGTAGTATATTATTCATTAATATACACTAAGTTTTTTATTTAATTAATAATAAAAAATACATAGTAAAAAAAGTCCAATTTAACGAGTAATACATAGTGTGGTGTGACCAACCCGCCCACGGTATAAAAACGGTGTTACTGAGGCTCCCACTTTTCCGGTTCTCCGCCGGTCAACTGCTCAGAACCCACCTCCGCCGGACCTCTTCCACGAATTCATTCAAATTCCGGTCAGAGGAACCGCCCTCCGCCACAGCCGCCTCCGCCTTCTTCTTCCAAGCCAACGCCCTCTCCTTCATCTCCGCCGCCGCCGGCCCGCGCGTCGCCTCGACCAGGCACTTCTCCACCTCCTCCCTGCCGACGACCCTGTTCTCGGCCTCCCCTCTGGAGAGGCGAACCCCGATCCGGAACACCTCCACCAGATACTTGGCGTCCGTCACCTGGTCGCCCCACAGCGGGAACGCCACCACCGGAACGCCGCTAGTGATCGCCTCCATCGTCGAGTTCCAGCCGCAGTGGGTCACGAAACAGGCCACCGACCGGTGCGCCAGCACCTGTTCTTGGGAACACCATTTCACTATCTTCCCGTTGTCCCCTGCTCTGTCCAGGAAGCCGTCCGGCAGGACCGTCGACGGAGTCCCCGACAACGGCGGCTTCCGTACCCACAAGAAACAGAGGCCTGAGTTTAATAGCCCATGGGCAATCTCGTCCACCTGAGCTCGCAACGAAACGAGTGTTACTTGGAAACAATAAATTAATTTTAGAATTTTTTTTAAACTATGTTTATAATCTATATTTGTGGTATTCAATTAATAAAATAATATATTTATGTCACAATTTATTTTATTATCTATTATTTACATGGTTAATATATTTTGTTTTATAAATGCAGAGTACTTTATCTCTCTTAATTTATGTCACATTTTGTTTTCGTCACATTTTGTTTACGAAAATGGGTAAAGTTTATTAAATGAGATATGTGAAATATAATAAATAAACTAAGTATTTTAAATGTTAAGGAAAAGAAGGTATATACTCCTTCTCCTCATATTTTAATTACAATTTTACTTTTTATTTCCTCTCGATAACTTTTATTTATTATATCTTTTCATTGATTATTTGATAAATAAAATATTCTTGTCATATCTAACTTTGTAAAACTTTGGATATAATTTTTTAATAAAAATATACTCCCTCCGTTCCTGAGTGTTTGTCCACTTTCATTTTTGCACACCATCCAATGCACTTCTTTAATCCATTTTATCTTGTAATTTGTATATTAAAAAATTATAAAAATTATATATTAATAATCTATATGTTAAGACGAATCAAACAAGATCACACATGACTACATTTAGGCTTACGCATTGAGAGAATTTGATGAGTCAAAGTGCTTAGATGAACAGTTCCAAAAGTCAAAAGTGGACAAACACTCAGGGACGGACCAAGTATTTTTTTATCAATGTACTAATTTGTAGTAAAATAATTTTAAAAATCATAAAATTTTACACAGTAATTTTCATTTTATACTCCCTCCGTCCCAAATTATTTGCCACATTTGCTTTTTCAACAGTCGCGAGAACTTTTGTTTATTTCTAAGTTTTCATTGGTTATTTGATAAAAAATATTATTGACGCCTCTTATTTTGAAGAACTTTTCATGTAGTTTTTTGATATGTAATTTTTATTTTTTATTTCTTTACCAATATGTAAATAAAACGAATTGAAAAAACTTAATATTTTACCTCGGTAATAGAAATGTGACAAATAATTTGGGATAGAGGAAGTAATCAAAAGATAGAGACAAAGATACTAAAGAATATCTAATTGTTTGGAGTACAAATCACCGAGTATCAATTTTTAAATTTAAAAAGGACACCTAACTCTCATTGGCACCTGTTAGTCTTTCTCCAAGTCCCATCCGTCCCAAAAATTATGGTAATGAGTTGTATTGAAAGCAATCTATCACTATGAATAAATTTTCCAAAAAATTGCAAAATAATGTTGAATTAAATAATTTTTTGAGTTTTTTCGTTCATTTTATTTAAATGTGGGTATGAAAATACAAAATAAAACTTACATATTTAAAACTATGTCAAAGTTCTACAAAACAAAAAGAAACAACAATATTTTATTTTATTAAATAATCAATGAAAATGCGAAAATAAACAAAAATTTATGTGATTTTTGAATGGTGGAATATCACAATCTTTTTTAACAGAGGGAGTAAGAAATTATCATAAGAAAAGTTTCATGTTTTAAAATCTAAAATAAGTTTATTGTCTTATAGAAATTGCTATTGTATACTACGGAGTACTATTCTATAGTGTTTATAGAATTATCTATTATTGTAAATCTTCTTTTTGGAGTAAAAACATAGAAATATTACTATGATACTTTGTGGGTGTATCTCTGTGTTTATAAACTGCTACAAATTACCTATAAGCAGTTTTTTGTTTATAAGTTAGTTGATAACATGTTTATGTGTGTTTATAAGCTGCTTAAGCCAAAAAAATAAGTAATTTTAGCTACTTATTTTAAGTCAGTTTTTTCAATTCTCTGTTTTGACCAGATTATTTTTAAAAATATCCTTTTTACCTATTAATTTATTTTACTTTTATTAAAAAATATTTAACTTATAAATAGCGTATAAGTTAAAAATTACTTATCAACAAAAAGTCAATAAGCACCAACACAGAGAATAAAATGGTTGAGCTAGTGTTTCTCCCTTGTATTATCTTGAGCTAGTGTTTCTCCCTTGTATAAATCTTTAAATAAAATGGTTTTATCTAAGACTGCCTCCGTCTTAGAAATCTTTTTTGTTTTAACTTTAAACAGTGACACTCTTTAACCATAAATTGTGAGAAAAGTATATTTAATTATAATATAAATTTAATATAATTGGGTTTATTTTAGGAAAAAGTTTTGATATATCAAATTTATATACGCCCTCCGTCCTAAAATTAACTTCTCGGTTTGACTTTTGTGGTCAAACTTTTTAAACTTTGACCGTATATTACAGAAAGAATACATTGAATTTTCATATAAATTTATTAGAAATAGATTCAAATAGTTTTGAAATATATAATTTTTATAAAATATATTTATATAAAAATTGAGATATTGATAGTCAAAGTGTCGCATTGGAGACCGTGAAAAGTCAAATGGGAAGTTAATTTTAGGACGGAGGGAGTATCATTTATTTATTTATTTATTTAAATTATGTTTAATTTATGGTACTTGTAAATAAATAATATTATTAAAAAGTGAGATTTTAAATATCATTTGCGGTGAGAGAATATATATGAAAGAAATAGTACTCTCTCCTTCCAAGTTGTTTCTTCTCGTAAGCTCAGAGTTTATTCACATTATTTAATTATTTTCACTATCCATTTCATAATATTCCGTATAATATAGTCATGTTACTTATATTTAATTAGATTTTAAATATATTTAAATCTATCATCAAAATAAATTAAATAACAAATTAAATGTTTAATGAAGTAAAGTGCCTTTAATTACCTGTTCCTGCTTTAAGCTCACGACACTGCCGAAGGAGATGTAAACGACGGAAGACTCCGGTTTGGAATCAAGCCATTCCGTACAGCTGTCGACTTCCACGAAGTCTCCCCGGACATCATCGCCGGCGGCGCTGATGAGCAGCGGTCCGATGGGTCTGATCGGACAGAGCCCCGACATGAAATCAATGACCTCCGGTTCCAGCTCCTGGAACGTCTCCATCAGCACACAAAAGGGTTTCGACAAGCTCTTGAACTGAGATAGAATCGCCCGAGCCAGAAACTGGTACGGGGAAGAAGGGTGCAAGAAGCTCGGAATCTCGTCGTGTTTC